CTGCAGGAACACTTACATAAGATCACGGATATAAAGTTCCGAGCAAGGCACTTTGTCACAGCACCTGCCACCGGTGTGGGCAAAGAAAAACTCAAGATTCTTACAGATGGAAACCCTCGTCAGGGATCCCGCCTGGTGGCTGGCACACGAATGTAGCAGCCCTCAGAGGGGCTGGGATATCTAACATTCTCCTTCTTAAATAATCTGGAGCAGCATGGACAAGGTCAGCTTGCCAGATCTCTGCCTGCGGCTGACAGGTGCCACTGTGTATCCCTTTATCTGGCTTGCTTGTCCAAAACTGGCATTTCCGTGTGCAATTCCTGGAAAAGCGCACTTGAAGGACATCCTATACAACCTTCCAGAAAAGCGAGCTTCCTTCCTAAATATAAATACTTATCCTTGGCTAAGGATACCCATAGAATACCAGTTTCCTAAAAGCAGAGAGAAGCCAGGCTTCAGTGAGACCCAGAACTGTGGCCGGACTGAGGTGGCTTGAAGCGTGTAGACAGGAATATTCCACCACGCCAGTGTCCAAAGGCTGGGGAAAGACAAGTTTCAGCTTCCACAGGGTTCCTACCAAAAGCCCTACTCTGACCAGACCCAGCAGCTAACATTCCTTGTCCCAACTCTACCAGCTCACACACACAGTATCTCTGATCTTTCCCCCAACTTCTCTTTAATCCCACACTGGAGAAGGGGCCCAGGCTGCAGAGATCTGTGTCCCAGTGGGAGGGTTACGCAACAGCCTGATAGGGTCAGATTACAGACAAGCAAGGTCTCTTAGAAGTGCGGATGATGCCAAGTTAGCAGAATGTTTTCTCATCACCAAGGGAGAGGAAGGAACACTTCTGTTCTTCAAATAAAACAAGGGAAGATTTTCCAGACAGAGGAGCAGTCAGATGGGGGGGGGGGGCGATACCAAGGTGTAGATTCTGACGCTGGTGCGAGCCAGGTCCAGAGTCAGGAAGGAGGATGTGATAAGATGGCAGTCAGGATTCTTGCACAGGCAGGTGCCGGAGTCTGGGAACTTGCAGTAAGGTAAGCCTGATTTGTATTTGCACACACACACACACACACACACACACACACACACACACACACACACACCTGTTCAGTTTCCCCTCATCCCAAGATGGCAGGAACCATGCCAAGTAGAGCATCCTCATTCTAGCACAGGGTAAAAAGATGACTCCAGGAGACGCTGCCTCATCTCATTAGCTGAGCTGGCCAGACCAGCCAAGAGAGGAAAGGGAAGATGAGGAGGGGGCCCTGGGAACAGGGGAAGAGAGCACGTGGCTTGACGTAGCAAGCTGGCCCAGGGAGAAGGAAGCAGGCCTCCCAGGACTGTTTGTCCTACTCCGTCGCGAAAACATTGTCTTTTCTCTATTATGGGCTCTTGAGAATGGCCTTACAAGTCTGAGTGGGTTTCCTAGGAAACCTAGATCAGGAGGAACAGGTGGTCCAAAGAGACTCAACCCTCATCACTCACAGACCTAACTCCCTTCCAGCTGCAGGAAGGCTTACGCCTGGCTTCCTAGAGTCAGTTCCCTGCCGCGTTCCAGGAAGCGAGGAAGAGGAAGCTGTGGAATCCTGTACAGAAAGCCCAGAGGAGTATGGGGGAGGGAGCGGTCACTTTTACAGTTTCCCAACAAAGTTTATTTTGAGACCTCTGGAAACAAGAGTGGCACTCAGCCACCAGCCCCACCACCAGCTCAAGTTTTATGCCCGGGGATACTGCAGCAAGACACCAAAGTTATTAGAAAGTCTTGCCCAAAGTAGTGTAACAGCCCCAACCCGGAGCAATTTCCCAAGACAAGAGCTCAGGACACTCAGAGGTCAGCCATGGGTTGTCTGTCTGGCACTTTTGTAAGAAAGTCCTTCCCAGGCCTTGTTCCAGTCTAAACCTAGTTCTCCCTTCAGAGAAGGATGCCCAGGTTGCTTCTGCTATGAATAAAGAAACCGAGTCTCACGGGGGTTAGTGGTAGAAGTCACATGCTCCAGGGTGGGTGTCTGTTAAATGACTCCATGTGACCCTGTAATGAAGATGGTTTATCACCTTCCAACACGGAAGAACTAAGTTTCCAGCCCCTATTACATAGCTGAGTTGCGATTCAAGCCCAAGCGAGTTTCCAAGACCATAGGCCTCTTTATCTTCCCACCCCTCCTCCCACTGATGCAGAACAATTCAGATGGTCACGGGGTGGGGGTGGGGGCTAATGGTGATGTTTACCTTGACAACCACGGAGTTCAGAGAAACAACACAGGATTTTCCAGACAGTTAAGCAATGATCAGGTTTGGAAAGGTGGGGGCAGCTACAATCACATGCGCTGTGTGGTGTAAACCCAGATCATCTGACCCTCGCCCATCACCAGCTGACCTGGGGCAAAGCCTCCACGTCCTACTAGGAAGTGAGTAGGAACGCAGACTTCAAGTTCTCTTCCAACTCTGGAATTCTTTGAATGTTGAAGATCCTAAGTGTGCTTCTCTTGTGAACGATGCTTGGCTTACTGGATATAGGCTAGCACATGCCTGTGATCTCAGCAGTCTCGGGGCTAAAAGCAGGAGGAGCCTGAGAGTTCAAGGTCAGCTGGGGTTCACAGAAAACACACACACACACACACACAGGAGGAGTACACACTTGCTGCTAGGAACCATCTTCTTGTAAGTCACACAGGGAACCAAGGCATTTTTTTTATGTTGTGGTTATTGTTGTTGTTGTTATTTGTTTTGGCACGAATAACACAGTCTGCCTACATAGCCCAGGCTGACTCTGAACTCACCATGGAGCCCAGCTTGGTCTCCACCTGGTGGCAATCCTTCTGCCTCAGTCTCCTGAGTACTGAAATTAAAAACCATTGCACCACCATGCCCAACTCGGGGAACCACAGGTCCAGAGAAAGAAGCAACAGACTCGGGTATCATAGACAACAATATTGTAGGCTGGTGGTTCTCCAAGTGACCAGTGATATCAGCATTGTCCTGGGGTACCACAAGAAAGCAAAGGCACCGTCATCAACTGATGACCTCTTGAGTAGAAACTTCCTTTCAGCAAGATCCCCATAGGCTCTTGTTGTGTCTACACAACCCAGCCTGAGAAGTGATATTACAGGCCATGATTCCTTCAGCTCAGAGGTCTTGTTTGTCTTTGTAGCCCTGGAAAACAAGTACTGCTCCTGGCATACAATAGATGCTCAACGAATAGGAAGAACAGGAAACAGCAGGTACTCAGACAAGGAAGTGCTCAGACAAGGAAGGAAGGGCAGGACTGGGCTTGTTTTTAGTGTTGTTTTGAGACAGTGTCTCACCTAGCCCAGCCGGCCTAGAACTTACTATATAGACAAGGGTGAGCATGATCTTCGGATCCCCCTGCCTCCACTTCTGAGTGCTGAGATTACAGGCATCTGCCACCACACTTGATTCATGTGATGCTGGGGACTGAAGAAAGGACCAAGCTACACGCTAGGTAAGCATCCTACTGACCAAACTATACACTAGGCGAGCACCCTACTGACTGAGCTACATGGTAGGCAAGCACCCTATTGACTGAGCTACATCCCCACTCCACTTTCTACAGGTTTAATTTTTTTAATGCTGTATATCAAACTCATATGTGCTGAGCAAGCAATCTACCACTGAGCTATACCTCCAATCCCTCTTTGACATCTTTATGAAACAACAGTTTGCCATGGGAGTGAGGGATGGGAATCACATGTAAACTCCCTTTTAAACCCAATAGTTTTGTTACCTCATTCAAGATTTTTCTAAGGCATAAGCTTACTTTTATATAATGAAGCTATACTTTGGAGAGCACATAGTTAGATAAAGAACATCCACAGACATTGCATATGATTTTATAGCTTGTTTCATTCGCTAAGATTATTTCCTGTAAATATTTGCAAGCCAGAACATGCCCATCAGTCCACGGATTCTTTGGTTTCCCTCTAAATGGTTAACTCCTTCAAACACGACCCTCAACTGAGTACTTGAAGTGTATCTGGCTAGCTCTTCAACCTTCTGTGACAAGCATCATGTATACGTGCTGTGCCCTTGGCTAATTAGCTCCCAAAAACAAACGCTTCCAGGAGGAGGCTGTGCATCAAGGAACTTTGCAAACCTTTCCCCACATACCTGTCCCCAGTGTGGCTGCTCCCTCAGAACCTAAGATCCTTTCTTGCTGAGAACTTTTCCAGAGCAGATTGGAACTGAGCTCCAGGCTCAAGTATGCTTACACAGAGCCAGCAATGGCTGTAGGGGGCCACTGGGTATGCAGGGATAGCACCAACTTTGACTACATTGGCCAGCCTGGTGTCTTCTCACCAACTGTGTGACCTTGGGGCAAGTGACTCAATTCCTTTGGGGTTCTAGCTTCATCTATAAAAGACGCCATTGCTAGTTACCTTTCACTATCACAAGGTTTAGAGACGACAGATATAATAGCCTCGCAGAGGGCCAGCTATAGTGGCACACACATTTAAAACACCTTTCCAGAAGCAGAGGCAGGAGAATCTCGGTGAATTCGAGGCCTGCCAAGGCTACATAGTGAGTTCTAAGCCAGCCAGGGCTACAGTGTGAGACCCTGTCAAATAAAACAACAGCAACGACAAACCCAGCCTTCCAGAGCTGTATGCTAAGTATTTTTTGAATGGATAATGTGAAGGGTGGGGAAGAGAAGAAAATGGACAGAGGAAGAAAACACAGGCAACTGAATAAATGAAGGCAAATCATATTGACTGGGCAGTTTATGGACTGGTTTGTCAGGATGAAGGCTGTCCTTTTAGGGACAGAAAGAGATGGCCCATAATGAACACACAGTTTCTCTCCATCCCAATGTGTTTCTTCTCTAAGAGTTGGTGACTGGTGAGCCACTATGTCCCTGGTTCATAACAATGTCCTGAAGGCCAGGACGCAAGACAGTTGTCCCCAAGACAAAACCCCACACCCAGCCAGCACTCAGCTTCCCAAGAGAGACATGACCCCACTGAATGGGTTTCTCTAATACCTTGATGGGTTTGCCACAGTCCAAAGAAGGGACCCACGCTGCCTGCCAGCTCACACTTCTGAGCCCATGGGCCATTGTCTCCTAGAAACCAGAAAAAGGAACAGGAGATGGTCAGTGGGTCTCTGGGGACACTTTTTCTAAACCCATCTCTGGTCAGAACCCTGTGCACAGCAGGGATCAGACAGAAAGACAAACATGATCACTCAGACAGAAGAATAAACTTGATCGCTATATTTGAAATGTTTCTTGTAGGCATGGATGTCAGTGTATGGCTACCCCTACCCTGCATAGCTATGGACCCACTTCCTATGCTTCCTAAGTGCGGGGCTTTCATATTGCCATTCAGCTACAACTGCCTCAGTGATCCCATCTCTACTAGGCTCTAAAAGAAAGGGGGGCTTGTTCTGACCCAATGAGCTCCATCCTTAACCTCTGCTCCCACACCCCACTTTGGTGGGGTTAGCAATCCATTACCACTGTCATTAGTATCAGCCCAACCACTGTCCTTGATGCACCTAGAACTCCACACAAACAGCGTTCTTGATGTACCTAGAACTGCATTTACGCACATCACTAAGCATCCTTGATGTACCTAGAACTCGACATACACCATCTTTCAACTTTACAATATACAGTGGAGTCAATTCAATTCTCCCATTAGTATATATTAAAAAACCAGGTTTTAATTTGATCCAAAGCAGCTACCACTCTTCTACATAGAGACCGAGACATAAAATATCTGTGTAACAACCTCCCATATGCATACAAACTTTTGGATTTTTCTGAGACACAATCTTGTTGTATTATACCCCAGACTATGCTCAAATTCACTCTACAGCCCACCCTGGACTTGAGCTGGAGATCTTCTTGCCTTTAGACTCTAAAGTGCTAGAATTCTATAAAGAGCTGTGCATTGGCATGCCTGGCTATGTGTAAGCCCTTTAAAGGGATCGTTAACTCAGTTCTGGAGCCTGACTAAAGATATGACTGGCAGTAACCGCTCTCATTGGGACCACAGAGGAGATGGCCAAGGACTACACAAGCTCACAATGTGAAATAACTCTAACAAGTACGAATAGTCTACAGGCCTAGTCAACATCTATGGGGTCAGCAAAGCACATGCTCCGTCAGTTCAAATCCTTTTCCATGACTCAGTCATGGAGAATTCAATAGACAATATACTCAGCATTCAGACAATCATCAGGGCTCCAAGTTCACAGCAAGTCCCTCCCTGTTAAAGATATCACATAACTGGACTCTGCTCTCCATGGAACCTGTGCAGTTATCCACTAGATTCCAGCCAGTTCAGGTAGCATTTCTACTTTACCTGTAAACCAGAGGAGCGTGTTTTCTTTTGCTACATGGCTAACTTTGTCCTTGATCTGCCCTACCAGACTGTCCATCTCCCGGAGACTTGCATGGTACGCCCTTTTGCTCCATGGGTTTTCGGATGGTGGAGTCGCAGACAAAGGCACATGCATGTGGGCTAGGCCCACATAGAGCAGGAAGGGTCTTCCATGGGTGCTGGAAAAAAAAATGGGAAACCTCAGAGGCTCTGCAGGAGGCTTCTCTTGTCTAGGGTCTCAACAGTTCCTTTTGATCTCAGAGAAAACACACCACCACCCCACCACAGGACCTGTCCCGCAGGTTCAAGCATAATGCATTTGTCTACAGTCTTCTAGGAAAAGTGGAAGTCATCTGGCTAGCTGATTGGAAAAATACTGTACCATAACATTCTGTGATAGCAAGAGCTATTACACAGGACTGTTGCCTACGTCCATCCCCAGGGAAAACCCCCATTGTCCCTTTCGGGCAATGAATCAGAAACATGGAGGAATTTAAGGACTTCCTTCAGGTTGTACAGCTGGTAATAGACAAGGTGAATTTCAACTCATCTGCCAGACGCAAACCTGCACTCTTTGCTGCTCTTCAGCATCCAAGCATCCAGACCACTGTGTTAATTCTGGTGGCCCTCAACCTTCCTAATGCCTTTAATACAGTCCCTCATGTTGTGGTGACCCCCAACCATAGAATTATTTCATTGCTACTTCATAACTGTCATTTTGCTGTTGTTATAAAATTGTAATGTAAATATGTGATATCCAAAATATCTAATATGCAACCTCTGTAAAAGGGTCATTTGACCCCCAAAAAGGGGTCATGACCTATATGTTGAGAATCACTGTTCTAGAAGATATAACCACAAGGAATCCCTTGATATGTGTGACCACAGGGGACATTTAGATCAAGGCTCTGTTCTATACTGAACCTGGAAAATTTGTGGTGAAAGGCTTGAGGTGCCTGGGGACATGGTCTCATGGGGGAGGCCTACCTACTTAGAAAATTGAAGTAGGAAGGTCACAAGTTCAAGGCCTGATTGAGCTACAAGGTGAATTTAAGACCAGCCTAGGAAACTTAGTGAGCCCTTGTCTAAAAATGAAAAAGAAAAAATGGCCTGGGGATGTACTTAGGGGTAGTATGTTTGCTTGATATACAAGGCCTGAAGTTAAACCTCCATTACCATTACCCTACCCCATCTGACCCTGATGCCCTCTTCTGGTACTGCACATGCCTGGTGCACATACATACATGCAGGCAAACACTCATATATATACATACAATAAAAATATTTTTTTTTTAAAAAAAAAGCTGTTTGAGCCAGGTGATGGTGGCACACACCTTTAGTCAGAGGTGTGCAGTGGCAGGTGATTCTCGAGCTTGAGGCCAGCCTGGTCTACAGAGTGAGTTCCAGGAGAGCCGAGGCTACAAAGAGAAACCCTATCTCAAAAAAAACAAAAGGAAAGGAAAAGAAAAAGAAAAAAGGCTGTTCGAGTTGCTGACTTGAGTTTCTTTTTTTCTTTTTTAAATCACTTGATGGATTTTGGCTTACCATCAGGACAGACTTCCTAACCATTTCTAAAATGGTGTTAAACATACTTTTCCCACTTTGTACTACATATTTGTATGAAGTGGTATTTTCAGCAAGATTATAGGACTGTAACATCAATGAACTCTGAAGAGGTTCTATGCCACAGAGGATTTAAATCTTCATGTAAAAATAAACAAACACAGCTCATCTTTAATGAATGGTAAAAATTACATGTATGCCACAGGACTGCAATGTCATGCTCGACTACATATCAAGTTCAAGGCTAGCATATGATGTAAGACCCTGACTCAAAAATTAGATAGATAGATAGATGATACATACATGAATAGATAGAAGATGATAGATAGATAGATAGATAGATAGATAGATAGATAATAGATAGATAGATAGATAGATAGATAGATAGATAGATAGATAGATAGATGGATAGATACATACATACATACATACATGGATAAATAGATCATATATAGATAATAGATACATGGATAAATAGATCATAGATAGATAGATAGATAGATAGATAGATAGATAGATAGCTCGATCATAGGTAGATAGATAGATGATGGATAGATAGATAGATAGATAGATAGATAATAGATAGATAGATAGATGGATACATACATACATACATGGATAAATAGATCATATATAGATAATAGATACATGGATAAATAGATCATAGATAGATAGATAGATAGATAGATAGATAGATAGATAGCTCGATCATAGGTAGATAGATAGATGATGGATAGATAGATAGATAGATAGATAGATAGATAGATAGATAGATGAGAAGAGAAAAGGGATCACATGAGACCTGAGGAACAGGTAGCTGCTGCAAGGCAGGGGCATCACTGGGGAAATTAGCTCTGACTGCTTACAGATTGTTAGCTCATTAATTTAAAGATCCATTATTCACACCAGCATCCATACAGGAAAAGGAATAGGGATGGCCATGGGTGAAAATAGGTCTTCAAACTGAATCTAGAAATCTGTCTGTTTGCGTTGGGTGGCATCTGGGATGGGAAGGAAGATGCCATCTCTCCAGCCTCCAGCCTGCTTTCTCACAGCACCCAGGCCAGCCAGGCAGAGGTGGTCCCATCCACAATGGCCTGGGTTCTCCTCCATCAATCACTAATTAAGAAAATGCCCTCCAGGCTTGTCTACGGCTTGATCTTGTGGAGGCATTTTCTTAATTGAGGCTAAAACCTCTCAGATGGTTTTAGTTTGTGTCAAGTTGACATAAAACTACCCATCACAGATGTGAGCAAATCCAGGGGGCTTTTCTGTTTCAGTGAGAAAGTCATGGCTGAATCGGCAAGTCAAATCTTAAAGAAACCTGCATGCCCTATGGTTAACCCTTCTGTGAAGTTAAAAAGTCAATGAACTCAACACCTCTCATTTTGAAAAATTGGTCAACTCTTATTTTCTTTGTTTGCTACGGAGAAAACATTAATTGATTTGTCTCTTAATGAGTCCCTTAACTGATGGGTGCCAGGCTCCACCGCCCCCGCAGAGCAAGAATTACACAGTCCCCAGCCCCAGCCAGCTGCCATCCCTCCTGTCAGAAGGCTAAAACTGTAAAACAACAGGAAACGGCCCTCACCAACCATGAACTATTTGCCTGTCGCAGGGCAGAGGGAACTAGGGCCGTTTCACAGCTGCAGGAAGCTGGGAGATGCTCAGCCTTCCAGATCAGAAGGTTCCACCTATACCAGCAATTTGAGACCACTGACAGTGTTTCTCAGAGAAGTCTGGGGACTCATTCAGATAGAACGCCTAACCTCCTGGGATGCTACTCTGAAATCTGGGCTTGAAGTAACGGCCTGTGTTATGAAGAGTACACAGAGAAGATTGAGGCGGCCTCACTGCTACTTCTGCCCTCCTTGATGCTGTCTCCAGGAAAGCCCAACACGGCTGAGCAAGGACTGCAGGATCCCGCACGGTCACGAGTTGGTCTGCTTAGCCATCCACAGATGAAGCCATTTTAATTCTGCACGATCAGGCTTGTCTCTTCCAGAAACTGGAAAGATCTGATACCAGAGGCTCACGGTCCAGGCTCACCCATCATCAATGGCTGGAGCTAAGTAGCTGCTGTTTACAAGAGATGGAGTATGTTTGCCCCATGCTCAGCCTGCTTTCTTTAAATTCTGTATTATGCATATGGGTGCTTTGCCTGCATGTATGTCTCTGCACCACATGCGTGCAGTGCCCTTGGAAGTCAGAAGAATAAGATCTCCTGGGACTGGAGCTACAGGTAGTTGTTGAGAGAGCATGTGGGTGTTGGGAATTGAACCTGGATCCTCTGGAAGGGCGGTCAATACTCTTAACCACTGAGCTAAGTCTTCAGACCTGCTTTGTGGGCCCTATAGATGTGCCTATTTGGAACCCTGGATAACAACCCCCAAACATACCTTAAGCCTAGTCCCTAGAAATGGAGAACTTTACCTTCCACAGCAAAGGGGACTTTACAGGTATAATTATGATAAAGCTCTTGAGATCATCTTGAGACTTCCTGGTAATTTTTTTTTCTTTTTCTTTTTCTTTTTTTTTTTTTTTGGCAAACCATGAATTCTGCCTCCGGAATTCCTGAGTGCTGAACTTTGTTACCACATCTGGTTCCTGATTGACTATTAATCGCTAGTGTCTTTTTAAAAAGGCTGGGTATGGTGGCACATTCCAGCATTTGGGAGATCAGAAATTCAAGGACATTCTCAGCTGCATAGCAAGTTAGAGGCCAGCCTGGGCTACGGGAGACTGTCTAAAAGAGGAAGGGTAGGAGCATTTGACTACTGTAGAAATAACAAGGGATCAATAGAACTAGAGATTAGAATGATATGTCCATAAACCAAGGAAAGCCAGCAGCCATTAGAAGCTAAAAGAAAGTCAGGCAGTGATGGCGCACACCTTTAATCCCAGCACTCAGGTGGCAGAGGCAGGTGGATCTCTGAGCTCAAGGACAGCCTGGTCTATAGAATGAGTTCCAGGACAGCCAGGGCTTCACCAAGAAACCCCATCTCAAAAACCAAACAAACAATTATTTTTGGAGACTCCAAAAAGAATGAGCCCTGTTCACACTTCGATGCTAGCCCTCCTAGGTTGAAGACTGGCTTCAAACATCTAGCATCCAGACCTGAGGAGAACTTACTATGGTTACAGTTGGTTTTAGCCACCACTTTGGTGGTCATTTGTTATAACAGCAAAAAGGAACTTATACTGCTTGCTAGCAAATGAATTCAACAAATACCCTGAGTAAGTACCCTGAATTTAGTGGCTAGACCCTACCCTCCAGGAACTTACACTCTAGCAGGAGAGGAAGAAAAATGCCCACAACCATTGTGCTAAGCAAGGCAGGACAGTCAAAGACCATAGGGAGGCTGAGAACATACTTGAGGGGCTTCTAACCCAGGACCAGAGAGTTCATTAGGAACACTCCCATTGCTAGAATATAGGAGACGCGCATGCGTGCCTGTTGAAGCATGGAACCCTGCCTTGGCCTTGACAGGCCCAGGGTGGGAGGACTTGGCGTGTGTGGAAGAGGAGAGAGAGCAGAGCACTTGGCCTTACCTTGCCTGCTCAATGAACTCCACTGCCTTTTCCGCATACTTGCGTGCAAGGCCACTCAGGTTCACAGGCTGCTCCACGATGTTGAGGTTTTCATAGAGAGGAAGGGCTACATCTGTGTAACAGTCCCTCTCGGGGCTCCTGTGTGGGAAACACAGAGGGGGGCACTCATTTCCACACCCTAAACAATCACAGAAAGCTTCCCTGCAGCGATACGCACAGATAAAAACACTCAACAGCTGATCCCAAGGGACTGAACAGCTTAGTCGTGGCTTTTCCCTTCCCTTTGAATAGATGTCTACGCTCCTTGAATGGGCCCGCCACCCTGTAAAACTCGACGAGATGCTCATGACAGTTCCCATTTTGCAGAGAGACACACTGAGGTCTGAACAGGTTAATCCCGTAGCCCACCAGAACTCCTGCTTCTGGCTTTCTCCATTGTCCCCCCTCAGTGACTGTGTGTCTGGTGGGCATCACTGGGTTCTGTGGGTACTGTCCTAAGTTGGTGACCAGGATTTCATGGGGGAGGTGGGGAATCTGATAATAGGGCAGAATATATAAGATGGCCTAGGGTGTTTTCAGTTCTTGGCGTAGGTCCTAAGGCCGATGTGAGTCTGACAGACGGCTATCTCCTGGCTGCATAGCTCCCCTGACCACGGGCTTGAGTGAACTATCTTTAGTTCTGGAGACTTAGACTTGTCCATCACGGTGTCACTGTGCCCCTTACAGGGGATGCCCGGATGACAAATGGCTTCCCTCTGCCCTGCTTTCAATTCTGCTTTATTATAATATAGATTAATGATGAGAGAAAGAATAAGGAGGGAGAAAGGAAGGCATTGTTTGAGGTATCTCGTGCCATTATAGGGCCAGCCACATATAATGGTTGCAGACGTGACAACCTAGGCCACACACCGCTGTGTAAGGTGGCACGGCACATCACAGCCTTTTACGCTGTCACCCGGGAGGGGGTCTGTTGCTTTATGTCTCATGTGTACCCAGGTGATGACATCCACAATGCTGGTCCAACAGCCACAGGAGTGAACCTGAAGGACATGGGCCCTCGACTTAAAGAGACGCAGACCGAAATCTGGATTCTTATCTCCTGCCATCTCTGGTGTGACCTGGGCAAGACAAATTGGTCCCATGGATTACAGGTAAGGGTGGGGAGTACCCAGAATGGAACAACTTCTCAATTAAAAACCGTTATTATATTAACTATTATGTTATCTAATGAGTCAACTGAGACGTTCTCCAAGCTGTTCAGACACCTGTGGCCTCAGGAATAACTACAGCACAGGCTCTGAGACGGAGGAGCATGGGGACCGAGCTAATTTGTTCCTCAGTAAGGCTTAGTGACTCTCTCCTTCTCTCTCTCTCTTTCTCTGTGTGTGTGTCTTTCTGTCTATCTGTCTACTTCTCTCTCCTTTCTGCCTGTCTCTTGCTGCCTATGTCTCCCTCTCTGTCTCTGTATCTCTTTTATCTCTTTCTCTCTCTCTCTGTCTCTCCATTTGTACCCTCCCCCGTATCACAAGTCTGGGCCAGAGAAATAGGATGTAGTCTAGGAGTAAAGCCAGCAGGCAAAGGAGGGAGGCTCCCCCTGTGTGAGATCTTGGCAGGCACAAGGCTCTCCCCAGGTGAGCTAAACAATTCCGAGATCCTGGAAAATTCCAACATAAAAAAAAAAAACTGTAGTTTCTCATCTTTGCACTGGGGCATAAATAAAAAGCCTTTGCCCTGTGTGTCTTGTTTATCTCATGTGCTGCCTCAACTGTCCCCACCGGTCTCATTTATTCTAGAACTCAGGTCTCCACTTTGACTTAAAGCCCACCGTCAATGCATTGACCGTCAATGCACTGAACATTCTTACCTCCATAGGCCATCGCTCTGGGGACATGCTGGACAGGGAGGGTAGTTGTAGCCAGGGGTGTCGGTACAGCCCATGTCATGGCTGTATGGGATTCCAAAGTAATAATCAAAACCTAGAAGAGGGGCAATGAGTTAGCACCCCCACTCTCTGCTTCTCAGCATGCTTGCCCCTCTTACACTCACAACGAAATTTAATTTCCTGCGATTTAATATTGCAGCGCTCTAGCGTGTGTAATTAAAAGAGGATTTGCTTAATATCCCTTTGAAGTACGCAAAGAAAATCACTTTGCTGGGTTCTGGCTGTAAGACTAGCTTTGTGGCGTGTCTTGTGATGTGAGTTAACCCAGGCTGGGAGGAAGTATCGGGAACCGCTGGTCATCTAGCATCCTCCATGGTCGTGATACACGCAGAAAGTGCTTGGTTAGAAGAAGAGACAGAGCCACTGCAGGCATGATAGCTCAAGGGATCAAAAGTCTGTCCTTGAGAAGCTTTCTCTGTGTGGCCGGTGAAATGCCTCAGCAGGTAGAGGTGCTTGCCAACAAACCTAAGGACGTAAGCTCCAATCACTGGAACTAAATGACAGAAGGAGAGAACTAAGTCCCAAGAGTCGTCTGTTATGGAATGTGTTTAACAATGTGAAGACGGGTTACATTTGTTCATGCCGCATTGGTTTAACCGTGCAAAGATGAGTTGCTCTGCCTGCCTAAGGCACCTGATTGGTCTAATAAAAAGCTGGATGGCCAATAGCTAGGCAGTAAAGGGATAAGAGGGGCTGGAGGACAGAGAGAATAAGTAGGAGGAAAAAAGAGAGAGGGGAAGAGAGAATGAGGAAGAAAGGGAGGGAGACACCCAGGGCCAGTCACCGGCCAGCCAGACACAGAGTAGGCCACATAGAATGAAAGAAAGGTAAAGAGCCCTGGGGTGAAACATAGACGAGCAGAAACAGGTTAATTTAAGTTATAAGAGTCAGTGGGACAAGCATAAGGTAAGGCTGAGCATTCGTCATGAATATGAAGTCTCCATGTCATGATTTGGGAGCTGGTTGGTAGTCCAAAAGAAAGCCTGTTATAGTTGTCCTCTGACCTCCACATGCATGCCACAGCACACACGTGTGTATACACACACAAAATTAGAGTAAATACATAGTTTATAACAAAGAAAATGAGACAAAGAGTGTCTAAGCCAGCCAGGACTCTAATGGTTGGGAGGTAGATTGGAATGGAGGGAATAAGAACGAGTGAAGGCGTAAGTCACAAACAATCCCACACCAGTTTGGAATTATGATTATTAGAGAGGTTATTTATTTTAAGGGGGAAAAACTTACAGATCACCGTCCCAGACAACAGCCCTCTGCGCAGTAAGGAACAGAGCCTACTCGCCGGAAGCATAGCCACTTTTTAAAGGGAGAGAGACCACGCCCCAGTGGGCTGGTATCTCAGCGGCTATTGGAAGGAGCTCCCGCAATAAACGAGAATGTCATAACCCAAATTCTTCGTACAGAAGTTTTTCTGGCATTGTCCCTCAGCTTGTCTCTTCTACAACTCAAACTCTTAACTGGACCTGGCAAACAGGGTGGGTCAGTGGCCTCTTCTGCCCCAGCAAGTGCCTCTTGCCTGCTCTATCTGCGTTTCCGGTCCTGTTTCTCATGTGACTCATACCCTAGAACCCCAGCGGCTTTGCCTGGAATGGCCTGCTCTGTAGCTCTTACCAATGAAGCTAGACAGAAACTGCCCAGCATAGCTCTAGTGTAGTTTCCTATAAAATGGCCGCTCCTTACCACTTCCTGCTAGCCCCTTCCTCTTCCTTTCTCAAAGCCTAATCACAGCCTTCAGATTCTCGGTCAGCAAGAATTTTTCTCTCAAGGTTTTTCTCTTCGGTACTGCACTCCTTAAGATGGAACATTGATTCCTCAGCTACCAGCACATGGTTTACGTTTAAAGTGAGCTTTAACTATCAACTGACAGCAGAGCTTGGAGTGACCTGAGAAGTGGGGGGATCTCAACTCACGAACCTCACAGATCCAACTGGCTTATGAGCACATCACTGAGCCACTGCCTTGTTTGCTCATTGATGTCAGAAGACCCAGCCCACTGTGGGCAGCACCATTCCCTAGGCAAGGTCGTTCCGGCTAACTAAACAAAGTTCTGAGAGCAAGACAGCAAGCAGCATTCCTCTGTAGCTTCTGCTTTAAGTTCCTGCTTTGACATCTTTCATTGATGAACTATGACCTGGAAGTATAAGCCAAATAAACCCTTTCCTCCCAAAGTTCCTTTTGGTCTTCGCATTTGTCCTAACAGCAGAAAGGAAACCAGTGGCTGGTAAAAGTTACTAGTGCTGAAGAAAACCCTGTAGTGCCATGTCAACCTCATTTGTACAAATCGATCTGAATACCTCATGGATAAAGAAATGGCAGAGCCATGTATTGTTGTGATCTTGTAGTCAAGATGAGTAAATATTTCAGGTTTTGTTGACAAGACGTCTCTACGATGACTTCTGAACTCTATCACAATAGCACAAAACACCCTTGGCGATAGGCGTAACAGAGAAGACTGTTTCCAATAAAACTGCATTTACAGAAACAGGGTGTTGGATTTGGCCCATGCTGTATACCAACTCCTATTTTAGATATCAGCTGCCCTCAGACCCCAGAGTTAGGCAGAAGCCTCAGTGTTCCCAGGAGCCCTGGTCTCTAACCAAGAGTAGCAGGGGGAGCATGGAGGATGGCAAAGTGTGATGTTTGATGTGATCCGTGGTGGATTTGGAAAGGAAAACGGGGTTTGTGGGAGCCAGGATAGTGTACATGGGCAGAGTACAAAAGCAGGAGGGACAGAAGGGAGCAGCTAAGAGACCCCATGTGTCCAAGCAAGGAGGCTTCCAGCACTATTTGGTGCAAAGTCAGCAAATAGGTAGGAGATCTCTTTCTTCCCACTTCTGACTCCTGGGTCAGACTCACAATCCTTAAGGGACCCTCTTCTTCTAAGCAGGGCACAGTCTCAGTATGCCTCTCTGCCCAGGACTCCAGGAACAGTACTTAAGATACCACCAATGGATCTAATCCAACCCCTCACTCATGGGAGCGAGACCTACTTTCTGGAATAAGGGTTTTGTAGTGGACAGGCCTGGTGTTCCTTTCCTCTATCAGCCATTTTTTTTTTTAAAAGACACAGCTTCGTCTTCTGCCCTCTGTGCCCCTTTAAAAGAATCCTTCAGGCACAGTGCAGCCCTCTGTACAGCTAGGGACAGACACTAACCAAAGTGAGGGAGAAGCTTGCAAAAGCAGTCAGGGACTATCGCTAAAGGAAAAGACCACCTGTTTGTGTACAAAGTGGTAGGTGAAGACAGACAGACACATGTCGGGCCGAGGGCTGCATGTGCTGACACGGCTTCTAAGGGACAAGAAGGGCTAGGGCAAGGACAGAGGCAGAAACGACCAACTGGAAAGAGCACCCATATTTTGGCAAATCTGACATTCACAGAGTGTCACCGAGGGATCAGAGAATCCACTTTGACAGCCTGGTCTTGACCTTCTTCTCCAAGGGTGACAGGTGTGAGGATGCGGACAGCCGCAGGAGGCGGCCAGGAGGTGGCCAGGAGGCGGCCAGGAGGCAGCTTCCTCTATCCGGGCCCGTGACACATTCATGCTCCAGCAAAGCACCAGACCATTTTGTTTTTACTTCTTTCTACCTGCGCTGTCAGGAAATCACAGAATGTTCCCTAAGGTGCAAAGGACTGGGAGATGGAAGGAAATGGATGGTCCACAGTGGGCAGACAGACAAGGTAGGGGACCAGGGAAGGGTCTGGAGAGATGTGAGGATGGGGGCATTGGCACCCTGCAGGTACCGATGGGACTTTTGAAGCAAAGATGTCCCAACATAGAATATCTCCAGGGATACAATGGCTTCAAATGCTCATACAACTCTTTTACACAGGGATCCTTATTCTCTGGCTCCCAGGGAACAAACTCCAAAAGAATTCTTACCGCGGAAATTGGGGTGATAAGAACTGTGGTGCCCAAGATGCCATTTGCCTGCCGAAAGAGAAAGAGAGAGACATTCAGATGGGGCTCTGCGGGAACATGTAGACTCTCCAAGAAGCTGATCACATACTCAGTGCCCATCAGTTTCACACTTGAGGGAGGACAGGAGAACCAGCCAGTGCTGTGTGCTCGCTGAGCTTTCTCTCTAGGACCCCAAAAGACCCTACAGGGAGACAGGAGACAAGCAAGGACCGGAAGACTCAGGAGCCTGTGGGAAAGATGAGCTGGGGATGGTCTTTCTTCCCAGCAGCCCAGTGATGCTGCCCAGCTGAGCCCCTTCCTTTGGGAGCACACGGCTTGTGGAGGATCCTGCAAAGATGAAGATGAATGCAGGTCCCCACCCTGCCTGGCTTCGGCATCTTTGTCTCTGGGTAATGTCGTCAGCAGTGTGCAGAGGCCAGGAGAGAGGTCACGGTGTGCCCCCCCCCCCCCCAGCTCCGGCGCTGAAACACCAGCCGGGCAGCAAATGAGAAACTCAGCCACCTGCAGATCCGGCTCCACCAGCACACTCGTTCTGCAGGGATAATTGGGAGACGCGGGGCAGAGCGCTGACTATGTGAGAACCTCTGATAGGCTCCTTTGCTCTGAGGACCGGATCCCAGGAAACCACTGCCAAGGCAAGCGGGCCAGCGATGTACAATCAGTCCAAAGATCTAAACTGCGGCAACCTTTGACAACAGAAAGGAGGGAAGCCAGCGAGAAGAAGAGAAGACATAGGGGTGTGACTAAGTAAACGATTTGATGTGGCCCTAGTAAAACCCAACCTGAATCAGTCCCTTATCCCCTTCCTGCAACTGCAAACTCTTCCGTTTACTCAGGACAGGGTCTTCCTATGTAGCTCAGGCCGGCCTCAGATTCGGGATCTCTTCTCTCAGCCTCCTGAGAGCTTAGGCCATATACCACCATGCCCAGCTCTATTCTGTGGATGTGAAAAACAAGTTTTGCTTTTGTTTTGTTTTCAAGACAGGGTTTTGGGTTTTTTTTTTGTTGTTGTTGTTTGTTTGTTTGTTTTTGGTAGACTTGGTTGTCCTGGAACTAGCTCTGTAGACCAGAACTCACAAAGATCCGCCTGCCTCTGATGGGATTAGTTGTGCCACCACCACACAGCTGAAAAGCAAGTTTTTTAAGGAAACAATTAAGGACGAGTCTGGTGGCGCACACTTTTACTACCAGCATTGGAAAGACAGGGGCAAGTGGATCTCTATGAGTTCTAGGTCAGCCTGGTTTATAGAGTGAGTTCAAGGCCAGCCAGGACTGAATAGTGAGACCCTGTGTTAAAAAAAAAAAAAGAAAAAGAAAAAGAAGGGGGAGAAGAAAACAATTGAGGGGAGCCTGGCCTGGTGACACATGTCTGTGCTTAGAGTGGGCCAGTTTAGGTAATATAAGAGTTCAAAGTTAGGATACATAGCAAGTCTCTGTCTGAAAAAATAAAATTATGATTAAATATAAAATAATATGAAGAGGGAAGGGGTAAAAACACATGCACACAGATGAAGAGCCAAAGCGGTGTTGAGCACTGTGAACGGACCCCAGAGCCCTTTGGTGGGTTTCATCCATAAGCAAGTATGAGTCTTCTCGAGGGTTCACAAAAGGTGCAGTCTGGAGAGAGGGAAGGGGGTGGGGGTGGAGAAGTTACACAGACACCTGTGATCAATTGTTTACTTGGTCTTTAAAGGCAAAAAGGAACCATAATACCAAAGCAGACGGAGAAGCGCCCAGCCCCCTGCTTTGTAGAAGGTTCTAACATCAGTACAAAGACCAAACCGCCTGACTCCAGGGATTAAACAGATGTATCTAATAGGTCTCTCTAACAGGCAACCCCCAGAGGGAGCTTCATGTGCCCTCTTGGTACTGATGCCTGCATAATTATACCTCAGGGGAGGAGCGGGAAGGAGCATCTTAGTTAAGGTTTCTATTGCTGTAATGAAACCCCACGACCAAAAGCAACTGGGGGAGGAAAATGTTTGTTTGGCTTGCTCTTCCATGTCACTGTTTGTCACTGAAGGAAGTCAGGATGGGAACTCAAACAGGAAAGGTACCTGGAAGCAGAAGGTGATGCAGAGGAAGTGCTGGCTACTGGCTTGCTCCTCATGGCTTGCTCAGCCTGCTTTCTTATAGAACCCAGGACCTTCAGCCCAGGGGTGGCCCCACCCACAATGGGATTGGCCCTCCCCCACCAATCAATCACTAATTAAGAAAATTCCCTGCAGCTGGATCTAAGGAAAGCATTTTTCTCAGTTGAGGTTGCCTCCTTTCCGATGACTTTAGTTTGTGTCAGATTGACCTAAAACTAGCCACACAGGAAGCAAAAAAGAGAAAATAATTTTTATTGGTCTCTTCTTCCTCTTCTCCTTCAGAGACAACAAATGTCATCCTCCAGTTCGGGTGCCTATAAAAGAATGCAAAGCCTTTGAACTCAGAGTGGGGAAGGCAATAGCGGAGATGCCCGTCCTTGGTCTGCGTAAAGAAATCTCCTCCAAGCTAACCCAGAAGGCTCCAGAGACCAGAGTCTCACCCAGGAGGACCCTCTCTGCCACGTGTCTGTTGGCACAGCCTCCCTTACTGAGGGACTATGGCAGAGAGACACAGGAATCCCACTGGAGCCAGAACTCTGAAAGTCAACAAGCACAAACAGGCCAAGGAGGCTGTAGGAACTGCTGGGTGGCCTCGGGATCTGCAAGACAGGCAGAGAGGCCCCAGGATCTGGGGTCAGATCCGGTACAGACACAGACATGACCTGCCTGAGGCACGAATGGGAAGCAGATGTCCTTAGGATCAAGACACAGTTCTCTCGCTATCCAATAGGAGAATAATAATCCTGTGTAAATGAACGTATGCATCCCTAGGGCCAGAACATAGTCCACGCTGAGTAGAAGTACCTTGAAGATATGTACAAGGAAACGACGCCTGGAATTCCAGCACTTGGAGGCTGCAAACAGGGCTATATGTTTGGGGCCAGCCTGGGCTACACAGTGAGACCCTATTCCAGGAACAAACAAGGACAGGGATGCAGTTGGTAGAGGGCTTGCCTAAGATACATGAAGCCCCGGGTGCCAGCCCCAGGACCACGGAAAACCGGACATGGTGGCACGTGCCTAAATTTCCAGTGCTCAGGAGGTGGGTGGGGACAGGAGCGTCAAAAGTTCGGTGTCACCCTCAGCTACGTAGTGAGTTTGAGGCCACCTTGGAATACATGAGACTCTGTTTCAGAAAACAAAACAGAGAGGGGGAGGAAGGAAGCGAGAAGGGGAGGGAACCGCGGGGAACTGACTGCTGTTTTCCTATCCTATATCCACGTCTTCAGTTTCGCTTCTAGTAAGATTTCGCAGGGTGGCAGGGTGGGGGCAGGACTGTTTTCTACAGAGACAGCACCCAGTGAGTGCATTGTGCATCCCAGGTAGGGGCTGCACCACGGACAGCCCAAAGCTGTCTGTCAGTTTGTTCAAGACGATCATGCCCAGGTTAAGCCAACTCTGGATGGTACGATTTAAGCCCTGTACTTGGGAAGGAAGGATTCTTTTTTTCTTTTCTTCTTCTTCTTTTTTTTTTTAGTGATTTATTTCTATTTTATGGACATTGGTGTTTTGCTTACATATATGTCTATGCCAGGGCATAGGGTTCCCCAAACTGAAATAACAGACAGTTGCCAGCTGCCATGTGGGAGCTGGGGATTGAACCCGGGTCTTCCAGAAAGGCAGCCAGCGCTCTCCACCACTGAGCCATCTCTCCAGCCCTTGGAGGAGGGATTTTTATCTTAAACAAAAGATTCCATTTCTTGGTAAGAGTGGGTGGGGGTATATTGCGCCTGGGACCCATTCCTTCTCTTCTCTTTCCCCTCCTTGAACCTAATTACAATGGAGGACCCTGAAACTGAGACGCCGCCGTAGCCACATGCACACGAACAAAACCCACGCACTCAGGATAGCAGAGAGTGTCCGGAAAAGCTCCCAATGGTATCTTTGAGCCTCTGACCTAATGTATGCAATCACTTACCACAAAGCTTATTACCATGGGAGGAAAGAGCTCTATACATGTTTTCAGGCACTGCCGGGCCTTCCCAGTCACGGACAGCTAGCCGAGAGCATCCCTGCCATCCGTACCCAGCGAGTAACCAAGGAAAAACGCAGAAGCGAGCAGAAGAGGCAGCCGCCATCCCTCTGGCGGCTCTCAGATCTCGAAGCAACTATCCAGGGGACATTACCTATCATGGCAGTGACATAGCCAGCCCGCTGCAGCACCTCGGCCAAGGTGGTCTCGTTGAGTGGAAGCCCCCCGACAGAGGTGACGGCAAAGTTGTGCGTGACTCCGTTGCGTAGACCCAGTCGGCCGGTAAGCAGGGAGGCTCGCGAAGGCGAGCAGGTGGAGGCAGCTGCGTGGAAGTCCACAAACCTGCAAGGAACGGTAGGCAGCTCAGGACTTGGCCAGCTACAGGAAGGCAAATGAGAAGGCATGGTGGACTCACGCGGGGACTGGAATGATAGCCCTGAGAACAACTGTAAAAGCCACGTGGTGGTGGGCAAGGAAAAGGAAGCCCTGGAAGGAAATGAGTCGGAGGTTAACTCAGACTGGCAGGGCCAACGCTTTTTATTTATAGATCCCGTATGTCAAAGTCACTCACTTCAGGGAGTTTTTGAACCTCAAAATCAAGATTTGAACCAGGTTAGAATCATCCATGGATAGAAACAGACACACAGGAGAGACAACTCAATGACTAGAAGAAGTAGAGACTCCTCTTGCAGAGGACCAGAGTTCAGTTCCCAGCACCCATGTTGGGCAGCCTGTAATTCCAACACCAGGAGACCCAACACCCTCTTCTGGATTCCATGGGCAAATGCCCTCATGTGTGACTATACCCACAAAGACACACAGACCAAGTTTTTTTTTTTTTTTTAAATCTAAAGAAAGAAATAGACTTAGAAAAAATATGAGTCACAGGGCTGGGAAGACGGCTCAGTCGGTAAAGCACTTAAAGCATAAGTGTGAGCTCAAATTCCCAGCACCCATGTCAAAACCTAGCATAGCAACACACACCTATAACCCTCCCTAGTGTGAGGGAAGTGGAGACAGGCGGATTCCCTGAGCTCGATGGCCAGCCTTCCAGCCTTTCTGAAGAAGTGAGCCCCAGGTTTGGTGAATCTGGACCGGATTGCTAGTCCAGGAGGTAAGTGTGCTTGCCACCAAGCCTGGCGATCTGAGTTTGATCCTCAAGACCCACACTGGGGGCAGGAGAGAAGTGAGTTCCCAAAGCCATCCTCTGACTTTCACACACACCCCACGGCACAAAGGTGCCCCCCACACACACACACACAGAACACATGCAATAAAAACAATGTCTTAGTACGGTGGAGAGCAGTCCAGAAAGACACCTGACATCTATTTATGGTCTCCAATGCACACATAACTGCACGCACACATGCAAACAACGGGGGGGGGGGAGAGAGAGAGAGAGAGAGAGAGAGAGAGAGAGAGAGAGAAGAGCCTGCTCCAAGGCACACATTCCTTGTCAAGGTCAGACAAAATTACTCTCTGCCCCCCTGTTTCAGCTCTGAGGCTCCTAGTGAGTGTCCTCTGGCCTCTCTATTGAGTCCCATGGTTTTTGCTTTTCCTATTTTCGTGGGTGATTCGACTGGGTGCAAATACCCCCGAGTAACGTGCTAAGAGCTGCCTGGCATCCATATGTACGAGAGCTGCGGCGTGCCTTACAGAGATGAGCATGTTCCCCAAGCTGTTCAGGAATGAGTTACAGTGCAGTTGGCTGAGCCCCATGCTAATGACTCAGAAGTATGTATTAAACAAACACGGTGTCTTTAAACAGAAATCGCACATAAAACAAGGCAATGAATTGACTGATAAAAACGCTGCATCCAGGGGCTCGCAAGAATGTTAGGCTGCACTTCCAGTCAGAATAAGGTTGCAGTATCTGCTGTTTGTCGTGACCACGCAAAATGTAACCACTGCTAACAGCAAAAACCGCCAAGCTCTATATGGTTGTGTACCCATGCCTGCCTTATATAGGGAATATAAAAGAATTCTAGGGCAAGCAAGATGATTGGTGACTCGAGTGCAATTCCAGAGACTCGCAGGGTGGAAAAGAGACTCAGTTCCTACAAGTTGTCCTTTGACCTCTACAATTGGTGTGGCAGGCATATAACACCAACCCCAAATATGTACACAAGATGAATACAAAGTAATATAAACATGTTCTTTAAAAATTATAGGCATGGGAGCTGGGTGGTGGCGCACGCCTTTAAACCCAGCACTTGAGGCAGTGGCAGGCGGATCTTCGTGAGTTTGAGGCCAGCCTGGTTTTCAGAGTAAGTTCTGGGACAACTAGAGCTGATCACAGAAAAACCGTGCCTGGAAAAAAAAATAAAGGAAGGAAGGAAGGAAGGAAGGAAGGAAGGAAGGAAGGAAGGAAGGAAGGAAGGAAGGGAGGGAGGGAGGGAGGGATTCTAGGCATGGTGCCAGTGAAATTGCTCAATGGTTAAAGGTGCCTGCTGCCAAACCAAAAATCTGAGTTCGATTCCTAGGACCCACATTAAGGAACGAGAGAACCAAGTCCCACAAATCGTCCTGGGACCTCCACACTTGTGCCCTTGTGCCATTGTATATATGTGTTCCCTTCCCATGTGAATAAAATATATTGAGTAAAAAAAAAATTCTAGCCATGTCCCCACCCTTACAGGAACATGCAACCTGGTTAGAAAACAAGACTGGGGTTGGAGAGATGACTCAGCAGCGAAAGGCACTTGCTGCTCCTGTAGGGGACTAGAGTTTGCTTCCCTGCACCCACATGGTGGTTCACAACCATCTGCAACTCCAGACCCAGAAGATCCGATGCCCTCCTCTGTCTTCTGAAGGCACCAAGTACACACAAGATGCACATGCATGCACGCAGGTAAAACACTCATACATGTAAATAAATCAAAAAAGAAAAATAATATAAAGAAAGCAAGGGTGGGATCACTTAAAGGACAGCTGATTGGGATTCCCCTCTGTATGCTGTGGATACCACTGGCTAATTAAGAAACTGTCTTGAGCCCATGATAGGGTAGAATAGAGCTAGGCAGGGAAAACTAGACTGAATGCTGGGAGAAAGGAGGCGGAGTAAAAAAGAAGCCATGGAGCCGCCAGAGACAGACATGCCGAAAGTTTGCTGGTAAGCCACTGCCATGTGGCAATACACAGATTAATAGAAATGGCTTAAATTAAGATGTAAAAGCTAGCCAATAAAAAGTTAGAGCTAATAGGCCAAGCAGTGATTTAATTAATACAGTTTCTGTGGGGCTATTTCAGGAGCCTGGGCGCCAGGAAACGAACAAGCAGCCTCCTACTGCAGATAGCAGTGGACAAAAAAAACACATAAATAAGACCCCAAGCCTGGAGATAATAGGATGCAGACCAGCATGCTTCAGAACTTATGGAGACAAAGGACTTGATAAGGACCCAAGCTTCGTGAAAGACTCCATGGCGTGGACAGGACCCAGACTGGAATCTAAAAGATGGAGCTGTTAGGGACACTTTGACAGTGACAAGGGCAGGCATTCCACTGGAGAAAGAGTTTGCAGCTAGAGGAGTTGATGGCTAAGTCTTAACTGTCAACTTGGTAGCATTCAGAACCACTTAGGAGACACACCTCTGTGTGTGTCTGAGAGAGCATTTCCAAGGACATTTAACTCAACGGCGAAGATCTAGCCCAACTGTGGGTGACACCATCCCATGGACTGGGGTCCGTGACAGAATTTACCTTGCTTTGATTCCTACCTGTGAAGACAACATGACCAGCTGCCTCATGTTCCTTTCCCCGCCATGATGGCCTGTACCCTCAAACTCTGAGACAAAAGAAACCCTTCCTTCCTTACATCGCTGATATAAAAGGTGGCCAAAAACCAGTCTTAAAAATAAAATAAACAAGGTTTCTCAGAAGAGGGAGGAGAAATGGCCTGGGTAGGGGGCTGGGAACAAGATCCTTGGGGATATGGTGGTCTATGGATTGATGTCTGTACCAGGTGAATGTCAGATCTGGGCAAAATGCAAAGTTAAGCTTCAAAGGAGAACCCAGCAGACTCTATAAGAAGAAACAACAAAAGAAGCAAACGAGTCTCACTAGACAACAAATTTCAAAGAAGGACACCCAGAAGGAAGAACCATTTCAGGCGACTTTAGCACATAGTGTTCAGGCTGTCCATAACAACAACCAAAAAGTATATTCTAAGGAAATCTTACACTTTACACAGTGGCCGCATTATTGGTGGAAGTGTTAGTACAGAGATTTTTTTTTTTTGGAGACATTTTCATGTGTATGAGAGAGAAATGTAAATAAGTAATTATATTAATGTTCCTAACAGGGAACCAAGATTTTCCATTGCCAGAAAATATAAGAGCTATACGATGTTAAGAAAAGCCTGTAATATAAAAATGACCAGCAGCGCAATGATAGGGTGGAGGACACAGCTAGCGCGGTGGCAAAGAGCCTGCCTAGCACTCGCGAGGCTCTCGGTTCAACGACAGCACCACACGATAAACGTTTCGCTAGAAAGAAAATGTCGTTATGAATCCATAATCTCATAAGCAATCGATTTCCAACTGATGAACCAACTGACAGAAAGAAGCGCTGCTCTCCCCTGCCCCCCAAAACAGCAAACCTACCTGCACCCAGTCTTTGTTTCCAGCACCGTCCCACATTAAAGGAATTTCTCCCTTGGGAGAAATATCTAACTCCAGGTTTGAGATCATTTGGGCATCAGAAGAATAAGTTTGTGCTTGGGAGACATAGTTCATTGGTACAGTGCTAAGCATGCTCAGCTCCCTTGGTTGGATCTCCACCAACACACACACACACACACACACACACACACACACACACACACACGTACACACGAACTACACCGAGTCATTTTTCACCACTGGAGGCAAACATGGTATCAATTCCCCCTCCTAAAAATTCATAATTAAAGGAAAATAATTAAGCACGTGCCCTGGCCCTCTGGACCGATCCACAGCCTCGACCAGGTGACAAGGGAGAACACTCCTTTGCATCTGATAGCTCACACCAAGGGCACAGTAGCCTTGGGAAATGACCAGGTCTACAACGTCCTAAAAAATAACTGGTGACCAACGGCCATAAGTGGTCACACTGTCACACTCTGTCACCCTCCCCAGCCATTTATGAATTGGGCAGAACTGGCAATTAGCTGTCTATAAAGGGATAAGACTTAGTGTCGCTAAGCATTTGCCCGTGGCCTTTTATGCCTCCTGATGGGATGAGAGATGAAGTGTAAAAAAGTGGGGATTCTGCCAAAAACACTTAACCTGAATCTAATCAAACTTCTGAATCTAATTTCCACGGTCCAGGAAATCCAGCTACGAGAACAACAGATTCAACTCTC